GTGACCAAAGCGTACTATAAGTTTGCCGTATGGATTTAAAATTCAAACTATCTCTGTTTTTCCTTTGAAAGCTACAATACAGTGACGCGTACTCTTTAATACGCGTCAAAATCGGTCAAATGGCTAACATAAGCGTTTCGGTGACATAAAAAGGACACCGACGAAGGGCTAACGCTCGAAACGTCAGCTTTTGTAATCGTTACGGTGGCCAATTTACCATTTCAACTTTGTTGATATATCCAAATTATACCACTTAGAGAGGTTCGAACTTTATCGTAGCTTTTCAAAGGAAAACAGAAATAGTTTTCATTCGAAACTGAAATCCATACAGGCTCTTATTTCAGCCTCTTATGGTATCGATATAATACACTTTGAGCACCGGTGATTACGGTATTTTGGGCCGGAACATGAAGCATTGTTAAACTGGGGTCGAAAAGAATATATTGGCGCGATCCATTCAACCAAAATTTCCGGAAATTTCGATCTAAAACTGAATGGATCGGTTCGGTCCAACCGGAAAAGTTTCGAAAAAACTGGCCCACCTTTCGAGGTGGACCACTTTTCTCGGTTGGACCGGTCCGCTTGGCCCGGAAATTTTGGTTGAATGGATCGCGCCCAAGATAACCTATTTCATTTTTTTTTGTCAATGCGTGAGCGGGCGGTACCCTACAAATCCTGCGATCAGATTCGTTCCAGGAGCGAGAGGTATGCTCCTATAGCGAGCGGTATATATCCGTAGCGCGATGAGTCGNAAAGGATACAATCCTGTAAAGCTTACACAATACCGATACCAGCAACACGCAATGTACAGATGTTACTCTGGCAGACTGTATTTCAAATGACACTAACAGCAATCAACAATCTTATACCGATTGCGGCTACACCTACTCCAACCCCTCGGGCTATTCGACTGGAAACTGCAGATTTTTCACAAGAGCATATCATTTTACTCCATCTGACATTGGAGTTTTCTTTAATCCCCCCTCCCCCTCTGGTTTCTTAAAATCCATGTAATCCTTCCCCCAATTAACAAATGGTAAACACCACAGCGTACACTATTGAGTTATGGATGCACGCGGGAGGTTGCTAAGCACGAAAGAAGCGTAAGAGTCGCTCGAGGCGATAGCCGAGAGCGACTCTAGCTTCTTGAGTGCTTAGCAAACCTCCCAAGTGCATCCATAACTCAATAGTGTACGCTGTGGTGTTTACCATTTGTTTTATAACATAACATTGATACATTGTTGCTAAAGAGTTCCCTTTTATCTAACAAATCTTACGCGACCAGAAAAAAACAAGCGCGCGCGGAAAAATAGTCTTTGTATTTGCTCACGTCAGCAGCGTACACCCATGGGCAAATGGGGGACGCTAAATTGACCAATCAGAGCGCGCGCTTTACTTTGGTTATGTTATAATATGTGTTAAGAACAATTGTACTCGATTTTATGGAATTTCCCAATGATCGTTGCCATGGCTGAAACTTGTGAATGAGCAAACTGTCTTCTGAGTTGTGATTGACGGTGACTTGCCATATGTGTAGTGAACAGTGAAGTTGCCGTGGTACGTCGTGATATGCACCCTTAATCATGCTCTTCAGTGATCGCTATCATCTCCGAGAGACACTTTTTTCAGGGATCGAAGTTATCCGGAAGGCAGGCATTATCGAGCAAAAGAGGCAAAACAGAAAAAACAAAAACAAAAAAACAGCCATAAAAACCAAAAAAATAACTCATTGACTGACGAAACTTGTCTAAAACCAGTCATGAAAAACAAATGAACTAAATCATCGTTTTAGTGCAGAGAGATACAGCTAATTCAACGTAATAGTCAGTGCTTGAGTCTGCTGTGAGGGAATCTGAAACGGAACTTTAAGGATCATTTATGATGAGGTAAGGAATTAAGAAAATATGACCGGGATCGGGATTAGCCGCTAGAAACCGTCGGGATCTCGGGATTGAGGGAAAATTCCGGTCAGGATGGCGAGATTGAAGAACCCTATTGGGGACCCACATGGATGGCAGATTGTCAAGAAGACTTTATGTCAATGGAAATGGGCGCAAAAATATATTTGGATTCTTTCTTAAGTAAGGGAAAGGCCCCATTGCAAACTCATGATACATCTACAGCATCTAAAGAGAAAAATAATGGTGTCGGTGGGCCGGGAAGTAGTGGAATTCCAAGTATTGAAATAGAAGACGACGCCCCTAGTGTAAGTTCAGGCGATTATCAAACCATTAACACCCATCAAAGTACAAGTTCCGGAAATGATGATGTCACCCCACACCACGAAAACACGTCCTTTGTTTCGGGAAACGAAATAGATGAAAGTACTCAAACCAACTCTAATGCTACAACTTCCGCCTGTGGTTTTAAGATGGAAAAGCCTAAGATGCCCAAATTTACCGGAGACGGCAATCCCGAACCATCGAGTTTGGTTTCGAGTTCGAGTTCGAGTTTGAGTTGGACTTCGCGATAAACTTCGAGTTAGGAAATTTTAAGAATCCAAATCAATAAAGTTAATAAGTTAAATAATTAATGAGACCGTTCCTAGACCGTCCTCACCGCGTGCTGAACAGATGCAATGGACGACAGTACAAGGTAAGTTTACCAATTTTGTTAAAGAACTTGGCTGTCTTTTAATTTTAGACTGAATTTGTCTTTTTTTAGTGAGGAATCAGACGTTGGACCCACCAACCCGCCAACTCCGTCCACGCGTTCGGAGCCGATTGAGATTTCTTCCTCGCCAGAGAAAGATCCCACGGGCAATGATCTTTTGTAAGTTATCTTTTCATTACATTTATCTAATGACCGCTTTTTCGGAGCAGAGCGATTTTCTGATACCACCTCTATGTTTACGAAAAAAGTTAAACGCGCACTAGGTGGCGAATGGTAAATGCGAGACTTTGCGAGACGGCGAGACCGGCGTTACGTCTGCGTTTATACCGAGACGTTTTGAGGTGCCAGACCACGGCTTTGCAAAAAATTCGAGACCGCTCAAAGAATGGACTGCAAGATCGTGAAAAGTGACTGAAATGTTACGAGACCTGTATATTTATTCAGAGACCGCTGTCCATTGCTGAAAAAAGATATATATCTTATTAACCAAGCGCGAAGGCCGTACTGGGAGAATATCGGCCCGAGGTCTTGACAGTACGGACCGAGTGCAGCGAGGTCCGTACAAAAAAGACCGAGGGCCGATATTCTTCCAGTACGGTCCCGAGCAAGCTTGGTTAATAAGAGATTTATTACACGACTGAAGTTCAAAGGGACACAAGTGCGGTATCATTCGGGACCATTCGGGACAGTGCCCGGTCCAATACTGAGAGAATATTGACCGGCAATAGAGCATTTTGATTGGTTGATTTTAGTTATTGGCCCTCTGACTTCCCGAGTCGTGTAATAAATATATGTAAACCCATATGTTAGAATTATTACGAATTATCGACCTATTGAGACCAACTCCATTATTGATCAATTGATCGAATTTCCATGCCGCAGAATCCCCATGCAGTTTAACTGATAATCGACAAAATATTGTTTAACAGCAGTCTCTGTTAAAATACGTTTACGTCATGATCAGAAGCGCGCGCCCTAATATTAAGGGCAGATTTATTTGTAGCCTCCGCGTATAGGCGTTACATTTTCCCGTTAGAACTTTTTGTTTGTTTTTTATCTCGAAAACATGAAATGAATGCGACCTAAACAATATGGAGCCACTTTACGATGGCGTGCCTTTATTTGCTGACGCCACTTATATTATCACTGTTTTAGTAAAAATGTCAACCAAAATACATGAAACGCTCTCTACGATTGGCAAATTGATTCATTTTCCAATGAATTTCTGCTAATGAATTCGGAATGCTATACATTTCGTTCCCTTTGGAACGATTATTCTGATAAAAAGATGTTGATGCACGTAGTCAAGCTCTAAAGCATTGGGGTTGTGCTATCATTTAAGCATGCATGTACAACGTTGTATTCACCATTTGTTTATGTTGTTTATGTTTTGCATCCAGTCATTGTAACTGGAACTTGCACGTGGTTTAATGACTACTCTAGTTGAACAATAAATTGAAAAGTAAATAGCAGTTAAAATTGTAGTCGTGTGCAGTTAAGAAAATGTTTCAAAAAGGTTTTTTTCAACAGTTATTTAGTTACAGTTTTAGTGCATAGACTCGTAGGTTCCAATAGGTTCTTATATCTTAGTTACTTTTGCTATAATTTTATCTTACGATATTGTGAAGCGCAACTGAATATATTCATATAGAGGTCTGCGCTATATTTATGTAAATTATTATTATTATTATTATTTTTAGTTCTTATTTCGCTACTGTTGGCTTATGTAGTTGTTGTAATTAGCAACTAGCAAAGTTGAATGTGATTATACACCGTTACAATTTTTGGTAGTTTTGATTTCAGATAGTTTGGGAAAATACGTATTTAAATATCTTTTAAAATTATGATATTTTTTAAAATATGAAAACTCGAAGTCCAACCCGAAGTTCAACTCCAACTCCAACTCCAACTCAAATCCAAACTCGAAGGATTATTTCTCCCTAAAATAGACAAATCGATGTCGGATTTCCATCAGTGAAAATAAATATATCGGGATGAAAGTTTTAAGTGAGTTTAATGCCTGTACGGAAAGTTATGTATTCAGGCATATATTCCTTATTCGCCCGCCATTTCAACATGACAGTGTACATTTCAGAGCCGTATAACAGTTTCATAATCATGTATCTGTGAAATATACAGGGCGTTTCCTTTTGTTTTGAATCAACAAAAGGAAAACGCTAGGAATCAACAAAGAAAACAACAAGGCAATAAGGTAAGCCCATTTTATTTGAAAACAAGACATTTTTTCTCTCTTTTAAGGCAAACCAATAACATCTCGTACAAACCTTTATAAATATAAAACGTTGCGCAACACGGTAAGAGTCACGTCCGCTTTTCTTGTAATGAGCTTGGGCTGCCTGTGATTACGTATGCTAAGAAAACACAGTCACGGAAGTGAAATGTTGACGCCATACCAAGTTTTCCTGCAACCTAACAGGTTGCTTTAATAGGCTGAGTTGTACAAGGATCCCGCGGCGTGTCCTGTTTTAATTTCTAGTCGTCGAGTAGTTCATCTAATACAGGTAAAACTGATATTTTCGTTTCCTTTTCCTTCCATCAACGAAGTTTACGAGCGCTTTTTATTTCGCCGACTCGAACTGAAGTTCTTAGATAACGTTTTGGCTGAATAATAGATGGAAGTTTTACCAAACAACGGTCGGTTAATCTTTGTTGGAAAAAAGGCTCTTGTAAGGATTTCAATCTTTCACTTATTACACATCAAAGATGCCTGGGATTTTACGTTTTCATCCATTGTTTAAATTAGGCCAACAACATTTTGTAAGGAATTTGTCTACTTTTGTCTACACTTTCTGTGCATTGTAACGATCAACCACTAATCAATGGAAACCTTTGGGATGAGAAAATTCTAAGCCCAGTTAAATTATTATTTTCAATTATTCGACAGAACTGCGTTCTATTTGCACAAAGCATCATTTTTCTCGATCTAATAGATTCGACTGAAGGTCTTTCATTGACCAACAGCTGCTCCTGATGATCGAAAACAAACCGACAAATCCGCAAAGAATTGAAATGACATACATAGAGCACTATTCTCCCAAACTCCTCCTGATTTCTTACATTTTCCTACATTACAAATCTACATTGCACCGAAGGCAACTTTCTCTTTTTTTCTTATTCCTGTTCCTGGGACCAGGAGGTTAATTACGTATTCAAATGTGTTTTGAACTACGGAGCACCTGCATTGACACTCTGCCTCCAGAAAACTTGACAAACGGCAAAGTCTCCTTTTTGAACTAATCTTGAATTTCCACGCGTAAAGCAGGTCTCCAGCTTGTTTTTTTTTTTTCCTCCCAAGTTAATGATTAAAATCATCGGAGAAATCGAAGAAAAAATTGGTTTAAATTATAAGAACGGACTCTTCATGGCCGTGTTTGTTATATGATCATTTTTGTCGATCGCATACCATTTTGAACATTACCTAATGTAGATATCCAGTAAAACAACTCCTCGACGCAAACTTTCTTTTAAAAGTTGCTCAAAACAGAGTGCTGTATCTTTTATTGTCTTATCGCGTGCAGTTTGCGTTTATCTGCGTGTCAAATTCCCAAGGTGACAGCATGTTACGTCAAACGCTATTGACAGCCGGTTAGTGAAGGCGTTTTTATGGTGAGGATAAGAGTTTCATGTAATATGTCCTAATTCGATGGATAAAGAAGCAATTATCCCTAGATTCATTACGTTATGGGTTACATTCTTACAAAAATAGTGTAACAGTCACAAACATCATGTAAAACAAGATTTGCTTCAAAGCCAAATAGCTACCAAACGGTGTTCGTTAGTTTGACCTCTGCCGCATTTGAGCTTTAATTAGTTTTTAGTGACTTTCAAAGCGGAAGACACAAGCCCGTGTTGTACGTGGATGGACTATTAATATGAGCCATGTTGGATTTCAATTCATTTTAAGCCCCACACATATAAGCATTTAAGTTTGATATTCCTGTCCGGCTGTCATGGGGAGATGCGTGCCCGACACCCGCATTAATATTCAAGACAAATCATCTTGAAATGTTAAAATAAAAGAGTGATCAGGATTAAACTCAGTAGTTCATCAAGTTCATCAGGCTCGGGCTTCTCGGTGTCTCTTAGTCTACATCAATCTGAAGAAACACTTGGATCATTGAAGTTAAAATGTATTTATTTTCCTTATTTTCTCTTTCTTTAGAGCTAAGAGATTACAAGTCTATAAGGTGACAGTGGTCTTCCATACATTCTATCGCAGGTACACTGTAATTTATTGTCAAAAGGCAATTAACGCCTCTAAACTCAATAATTTAGAGGAGAATAAGTTGATGCTGCAAAGCGAATTCAAGAGGAGATTGATTTTCTGTTCCCAAAAAAATTCTATACATGTGCTATGGTTTCTTTACATACTGTATCGTTCATTATCTCAAGTGCTATTTTTGTTCTACCAGGTATTAAACTGGGAATGAAAGATTAAGTGAAATGAAATCGTTATTGCTGTTGCTTCTTTCTGATAATCTGTGCTAACTTAGAGTCTAAACCTAAGCATTACCTTCACTTTGATTCTTGGATTCATTATCAATCACAAAGTTATAATTATTTATTAGGAAACTCCAAATGTGTTTTTTCTTACCTGTTCCTGTTTCCAGTAATTCTTTCCGACCTTTTCACTGCTCCGTTGACGTCCAGGCCATCGGTCCAAACCAGAGTGAACTCAGTGATTTCAAAAAAACAATTCTTATGAGGTTCTCCCTATAAAACTGCAATCAATTTCTCTCACTACTCACAGTTTCACCTTTATCCAGTAAATATTTAGCAGAATTGGTTTTGCTTGATGTGAGGCGTGTGGTTCATGTTATCTTGAAAACGAGGTTGCTATTAGATATGATTTAAGGGCTACGGCTGTTAACACGTTATTCATTAAATGGCAATATCGTGATTATCCTCTCTAACTTTAGCAACAGAAAAACAAAAACCGAAGATGAAGTTAAAAGAGACTGAGGTGGTTATTCTCACAGTCCTGTACGCCATCACGATGCTCGTAGCATTTGCGGGAAATGGTTTCCTCGTCTATATCGTGTGGAAGAAGGCTGAGGTAAGATCACTGACAAGCTTCATGTTCATCAACATGGCCATCGCTGATTTGCTGGTGACGTTGGTTGTGATGCCCTGGTCGATTGCCCAACTCTACACAGACGGTTTATGGATGATACCAGGAATATTGGGAGACATCACGTGCAAAGTTATCGTATACACTGCCTATGTTACTATAACAGCGTCCATCCTCTGCCTGACATTCATGGCAGTCGATAGGTACTATGCCATTGTTCATCCCTTCCGCCGCCATCTTTGGTTCCGAAAGCCTAAACTGACAGTACCATTTATTTGGATCTTGTCACTGGCCTCTATGTCCATTTTCCCTGTTGTACAAACCGTGGAGGACCACAATTCCCAATGCATGCTATCTGTTTACGTTTTGGGCGATCCATTCTGGGCTCTGCGAGGAATATTCCTCTTCCTAGTAGTGGTTAACTATCTGATCCCTTTGAGTGTTATTTCTGTCTTGTATACTATTACCGCACGGAGGTTATGGTTCCATGCTGCACCTGGAGTGGAACATTTGACAGGAAACCGAGAGAAACTTGAAACCTCGAAGAGAAGAGTGGTTAAGATGCTCATCATTGTTACCTGTGCCTTTGCCCTTTGCTGGCTCCCAGCACAGGTGGTCCACATGATAATTGTCATGCAAGCATGGAATATTGAAGTTAATCTTCAAGAGAATGTCATGTTTCTGTGTTTTTTGTGTGGTCACGCCAACAGCGCCATCAACCCATGGCTGTACATATTCCTGAGCAGCAAGATCAATACGGCATTTACAAGAATCGTCAGTAGAAAAAGCAGCCGGTCGCCTCCGAGTCTCAGTGTCAAAACATCAAATGCCTTTTTATTACCTGAAGACGAAGCTATTCAGAAAGAATCAATACTGTAATTTCTGTCATAACATGAAACATGTATTACCAATCTTGGTAATTGTACTTAAGAAAGCGAAACTTTCTTAAAACTTATTTGATATGACCCTATATATACGGTGTGATAAAGGTAATAAGCTAGGTAATTTAATGTGAAATTGATAATCTCAACTGATTTAGACAACTGTTCTGTCAGCTGTTAAGAATAAAAGAAGGGATCAGTCGCAAAGTCAACTGTACTTAGGAGCGAATGGTATTTATTTTTCTTCAGTGGATTGGTGGATCGGAGGCCGATGTTTAAGGTAGTGTGGCCCAGTGGTCGGGGTGCTGTAACTACAATCTCTACTCTTGGGTTTGCACACGCGGTCCAAAAGAAAAGGAGTTTTTCCGTATAATTTGGATATTTCAACAAAGTTGAAATGGTAAATTGGCCACCGTAATGATTACAAAAGCTGACGTTTCTA